AAAATACAGGCCATAGTGTAATAAATGGTTTTAGGTACAGGAAGAGGCCGTCTGCCGTCCAGGTGGAATTGCTGCTAATGTATAAAATTAGTTTTGTGAGAGAGAAGGGACATGAATATCAGGTCTGAGTCCTGGTGGAGGATCTATAACTGTAATTGGGTAAATCAGAGAGAAGTAGCTAGCTTCAGGGTTCTTCATTTCTGTTTCTTTAAGAGCGAATTTTACTGCTAATCCCTCACACAGCTTTACTGTTTGTTTGAGTGCTGCTCATGCTCATCTTTTGTTACAATTTAAAACACATTCTGTGGAAGTGCTGCCATTTTGTCGGACAACATACATCCTGCAGGTGCACAGCTAGATGCATGAGCGCTTAAACACAATAGATGTGTTGAGTCATACAGTCATTTATTTTCCCATCAGGCCATCCTGTCTCCTGTCTGTCCTCTCAGGGATTGAAAACAATATCAGTTCACACTGCTTGCGTTTTTTTGTGGCTGTTTGATTATTTACTTATGAATATACTCATCAAATATCTTAGGAATTTTTTTTTTTTTAGAAATGTGAGTAATGCCCTATGAGTTAGGATAATGTCAATAAAAAATAATGTGTTTTTTATTACAAGCAACAACTTAAGTTTAGTTAAAAGGTTGCTTTAACCTCCTAGGGCTTAGTGGCCACATATGTGGACAGCACATTTTAGCTCTTAAGTGGCTATTTAAAATACTTTGAATGGTTTATATTTTGTTACAGACATACAGTGTCATACTGCAACTGTTTTGCAGCATATAAAATGTCTCAAACACTATTTTTAACTGTCTAAAATGGGGGGGAAAAGTTGTTTTTAACTCTGATATTCTAAACGTGTAAAAAAAAAAAAAAAAAAAAAAAAAAAAAATATATATATATATATATATATATATATATATATATATATATATATATATATATATATATATATATATATATATATATATAAAATTAGTCAGGGAAAAAGTGTTTTATGTAAATTTGGACTACGAGTCCACATATAAGGACATATTTTTTTTCTCTAAAAGTACATGATATAAAAGGATGATACTTGAGTTTTTATTCTAATTAGGTTCCAATAAGCCCGAATAGCAAAGAGAAATAAAAAATGCATGTAAAAAACACATTGGGCATTAAGAGGTTAAATGCGCCAGCTCTTTAATTTTGTATGAACCGTGACTTGAATTATTATTCTTTTTTTATAGAAACTTCTTGTTTGTTGTAATGTAGAGCTGAAGTTTCATAAACTACACGTACTGAAGCATACATTTGAAAAATCTTATTTTTTATTCTGTGTTTTAAGTTATAACAGCATTTAAAACTGTATTATATATAATAATACATATTATACATAATACATATAATATAATACATAACATATTTAGAATTTCAAACCTCATAACATATTTTTAAAAAGCATTGAATCGGATCGTATTGAAAAATCTTATGAAGTTTGAAATTGTTGAATTTTTAACTAATGCTGCCAATTTAAAAAATAAAAAAATATAAATGAGAATGTGTAAAATGGAAAAAACGAATAAAATGGTAAATATACATTTAAATAGACATATAAAGACAAAAACATTGAATCAGATATTATTGAATAATGTTTTGAAGTTTGAAATTGTTGCATTTTTAATCAATGCCGCCATTAAAAAAAACTCTTTAAAAAATATATATATATAATTAAAATGGGAAAATGTGTAAAATGGAAAAGAAATAAATGTTAACATTATATTATACTATATTACACAATGAGGAAGGCTTTGTGCCGAAACTTTTAATCACCCGTAAAATGTAAGAAAAATAAAAAACAAAAACAGTACGAAGCAATTGAGTGCGAATCATTACCTTTTTTTGAATAATAACATTATATTATAAACATTAAACATATTATAAACATTTAAAAACAAAAACCTTGAATCTGATCTTATTGAAAATGTTATGAAGTTTAAAATTGTTGAATTTTTAACTAATGCCATTAAATTATATATAGGCAAGGCAAGTTTATTTCTATAGCACATTTCATACACAGTGGCAATTCAATGTGCTTTACATAAACAGGAATAAAAGAGACAAGTGTAAGAAAATGAAAACAAATAATAAGTAAAAACAGATTAAAATGTGGCAAAACAGATTATAAAAGAATGAAAGAAAGGAAAGACATAATGGAGCGATTTATTGGAAATAACAAAGTGCTCATTCAGTAAAGGCACAGCTATAAAATAAAAAAGATATATAAAAAATGATGAAAAAATGGAAAAGAAATTAATAAACATTAACCATTTAAAAAACATTTAAAGGCAAAAGCATTGCATCAGAACTTAGTGGAAAAAATGTAATTTAAAATTGTTGCATTTTTAACTAATTGTGCAAAAATCTAAAAAAAAAAAAGGGGGGGGGGGTGTGTAAAATGCAAAAGAAATGAATATCAACATTAAATAAACATTTAATAACAAAAACATTGAGTCTGATCTTATTGAAAAATGTTGTGAAGTTTGACATTGTTACATTTTTACGAATGCCGCCATTCAAACTAAATCTAAAGAAATAAAAAGGAGAAAATGTGTAAACATGGAGAGAAAAAGCAAATGAAAAAGGCGTTTGCTTAATGCTGATCTTCTAAACATGCAGTAGTAGCACAAATGAAAACCACAAACCGATGCATGGCAGACGGCTGCAGTCTACTTAAGATGTGGGTGAAGTGATTTAGCATGTTTTAAGTGTTGCTAGCAGCTGCTCAAGTGTGAAGTTGTCTCTTGGCGTAGATCAAGTGGGTGTGAAAGTTCGGCACGTTGACAGGTGTGCCAACACTATGATGTTGAACTCAGTAGGACATCAATTAACACACTATCATGCATATTTACCTTGCTTTACACTAACCTCTTTCTGCATCTTCAAATCCAATTTCAGTAGAGCATCATTTTCCACTCAGTTTGCAGCATAATGTGTGTGTTTAGAGCTGTGTAAAAATGCAAGACTGACAGCCAGTGGCATCTCAATGTGGCAAATCATGTGATACAAACATTGTTACATCTTGATATTTATGTGAGTTTTTGAGCTAAAATCAAATGTCAGCTTTTTCTTTTTGTACCATTTTGACTTTTTGTTGCATTAATTATTATCCAGATATTTTTACTGATCTTCAATAGTGTTGAATTTTCCCACAACACATATTGAACAACATATTAACACGGTTCATATAGCTATAAACATACTCGCATACTGGGAGTAAACTCTTAGGATATAGTAACCCCTGGATATAAGGCTGCCAAACCTCATGAAAAATTTTTTTGTAGATACTTGGAAGGTGTATTTAAGGTGCTCGAGTTAAAGTTGTGCTAACACTTCTAATATCCAGTGTTTGTGGGTTGGTGGGTTTGCTTTTTTTCTACCTGAGAAGAATCAGTTGTCTGGTCAGTAATGCAGAGAAGGCAAGGATTTCTTATTTCTTTCTTGTGCTTTGTTTATATTTGCCTTGCTTTTGTAAGATTTCATCCAAATGCTCACTATACTTACTCCCAGGGCCATTTATATTGAAGTTGATATTTAGCCGCACCATATTGGTGTTTCGTAACATCTAGTTTTTATGAGGTGAGTTGTTAGCCCAATGCTCAACCCCCAGTCTGGAGGAGCAGGGCATACACACATACACTACAGGCAATTTATCTTACCCAATTCAGCTACAGCACATGTCTTTTGACTGTGGGGGAAACCGGAGCACCCTGAGGTAGGCATGGGACTATAACCGTTTTCAAGGTATACCACGGTTTTTAAAAGTCAATGTTTTAAACCTGTCAAAATTTTCTACAATAGCATTCCTAAGGTATGTGTAAGATTTTTTTTGTTTGTTTGTTTTTTAAGACAATAGCAGAAAATATGCTGTTATAAATGGTAAAAAAAACAGTTTTTGTAACAAATAAACACAGCAGAAGTCAATAATTCATTTAGCCTGACACATTTACTATTCCAAAATATTTTCTTTTTTTATTATATTTTCTATTTTCTGTTTCAAAATAGTTTCTCAAAATAAAATATATTGTTTTCAAAAGGGAAAAAAAAGATTTTTTTTTTTTTACCCAGACAATTAAAAATTATATATTAGAGCAGTAATCACAATACCGCAAAATGTTGAAACCATAATATTTTTATCCAAGGTTATCATACTGTCAGAATTCTATACCAGCCCATGCCTACCCGGAGAAAACCACTCTTATATTGTACACTGTAACTGCAAAATTGTAAAAATTTCACGCTTATAATAAATATTGCCTGTTTTAATATGTTGTTTGTTTCTATGATAGAAATGCTTGGTCTTTTTAAAACTATTCAGTCTGTGATGTCACAATCTTATAATCTTTCTAATATGATGATTTGATCCTCAAGAATGTATTGTGCATTATCAAAGTTGAAAAAGCTTTAACAGCTGACACAAACTCTTTGCCTGTAGTGCAAATGCGTCTCCTCATCAGATGCATCAAAATGACGTGTGCATGCTTGTTTTTGAGATGCTAGATGGTGCTCGTGGTAGCTTGTTGACCGTATAGTACGGCGGCCGTTATGTTTTGTGTGTTTATGTAATGATGAAATGAGGGAGTTAGATGTCAGATGTGTAGCGTGCCCCCGCAAGCCTGTGGAAATTACCCTGATAAGGCCCCGTTTCCTGTTTGTGAAGCACTCAGACATCTCCATTAAAGGCCAAACTTGATAAACACCAGGTCTGGGAGAGAGCGGAATGCTGGAGATCGACAGCTAAGTCAGCAAGACTTGAGTTACTGGAAATAAATGCTACACACACACACACACACCCACATATGCATACTGTACTTTAACACTCACACACACATTAGCGTGTTGGGCATTAGTGCTAATACTCTGACTAGACACTCTTGCTCTTGCTTTCCTGTCTGAAGATGAAGCGTGCGCATGAGTGTCGTTTTTTAACCCTGTTTGTTTTGTTTGTTTTGTCGCAGGTGCTGGAGAATCGGGGAAGAGCACCATCGTAAAACAGATGAAGTGAGTGAATGATGTTTTCTCTCTTCAGATTCTTTGACTTTCTTTAAGATGTGTTTCTGAATACCAGCTGTTGACGCTGGTGTTGATGTTATGAGAGGGAACAGCTGCAAAGCTGCAATGAAAATCATGTTAAAAAGGAAAATTTCGCCCTTGCTCACACATACTAATCTGTTTATATGGCATGTTGGGAGTGTTTTTTTTTTGTTTTGTTTTTTTGGTGCCTTCACTGATTAATAAGGGTGTCACGATCTTCCAAATCCTCGATTCGATTACATTTTCGATTCTAAAGGCACGATTCGATTTTCGATTATGAATAATTAATTAATTAATGACCAATTAATTATTTGTAGCCTACCGTTTAAACTACCTGACCTGCGTGGTCTTTGTTTTACCCATAAACAAATCATACAGTAAATGACACACATAATTACCACCTGTCAATCACTTTTTCTGTGGGACTCGTGAATAGGCAGTGATCTGTGTCGTTATAATGGCGTCGGTAAAAAAGACGCACAACCAACAGGAACCAGCCAACAGTATCTGAGGTGTTCGCTGAAATGACTAAGTACAAGTGAGTGAAAGATTGAAGCAGTCTACTGATCCTCTGACTGCCTAAACCCGCTGTCTCGAGCCCATGGCTGTGTTTGTGCGTCTGTGTGTGTGTGTGTCAGAGGTAGAGAGGAAGGAGGGCTGCTCTGCTCAGAAATGCTACACGCCACTGTGGATGTCAAATCGTTGTCGTTCTAATATGCCATTTAAAAACAAAGACAGTGTAAACAGGGTCTGAGTGTGTACTTTTCGCGAGCGGATTTGCAACGAGGGCGGGCAGAGGATCGCGATGCCGATGTTGTCTATCGGACGAACCATACGTAATACGTACATAGCAGAGCTTGCAAAACTGTGTTTTTTTTGTCGACAACACGAACGTTGTCAACATAACTCACTGGAAATCCAAAATACTTACACACCGGCGACATCATTGAAAGAGGAGAGGGTTTAAGCTCTGTCGACGGGTCTCCTGCTTCTGCTGTTTAACAAGCACTTCAACAAGCCTGTTTTTTCCCGCTTGGCAAGCCAAGCTGACGTGACATGGGGGCGTGGCAGCATCGACGATTCTATTTTTTGATTCGATAATCGAAATTGAGCATAAATTTCGATCGATTTCGATTAAAAATCGAAATCGTGACACCCCTACTGATTAATGAACTTAACGGTGCTCATAAACAAAGCGCAGAGCTCCATCTCTAGATTAGTGCTCGGAGGCATTCATTTCAGTCAAACTGTTCATTTTGACAGGTTCAGTCACTCATTTCAAAGAACAAGAAAATCAGTTGAGCTGATTTTGTTTAGTAACTGTAATAATAATAATAATAATAATAATAATAATAACAACAATAATAATAAGAAGAAGAAATTAGAAATTTGTGACACTAATCTATTTTAATATTCAGTCAAAGTCCTATCTGAATGAGAACCATACCTAAATTATTGTGGCCTTAACACTGATAAATTCTATACATGTGCATGTCTTCTCATACACACTGACTTAAACAGCTTTGTCTGTCTGTGTGTGTGTTTGGGCCTCTGGCAGCAGTTAATACTGTTTATCTGACCTTGACCTCTGCTGCTTCCCCTACGCCTCTGTTTCCCAAAGCACTTTTACACACTAATCACTCTGATGGAAAAGTGTTTACTACATATCTGAGATGACTTACTATCTCATTACTAAAAGCTT